ACACACACACACACACACACACACACACAGTCATCATATACATATATATGGATATAAGTCCTTTGTCAGATATATGATTGGCAAATATTTTCTCTCAGTCTTCAGCTTGTGTTTCTATTCTCTTAATAGTGTCTTTGACAGAATAAACAAATTTAAATTTTATTTAGTCCAGTTTAACAATTTGTTCATACCATTCCAAAGTATGCTCTATAAAAGAACAAATACAGTTGACCCTTGAACAACACAGGCACTGACCCTCTGTGCAGTTTAAAATCAGTGTATAACTTTACAGGTGGCCCTCGGTATCTGCAGATCGTGTAGTACTGCAGCACATATTTAGTGAAAAAAACCCACATGTAAGTGGACTCACACTGTTCAAACCCGTGTTGTTCAAGGGTCAACTGTAATTAAATTTGTATCTAGGAAATTTCTGCCTCATTCAAAGGCCAAAGATTTCCTTCCTATATGTTTTTAATCTAGAAGTTTTATAGTGGTTTTACATTTAGGCCTATGATTCATTTTGAGTTCATTTTTTTGTGATGTGAATCATTGATCACAGCTCATTTTTTGCATATTGACATTTGATAGTTCCAGCATCATTTATTGAAAAAACGATTCTTCTTCCACTGAATTGTCTTTGCACCTTTGTTGAGAATCAATTGTCCATAGAAATGTGGGTCTGTTTCTGGATTCTCCATCCCATTCCTTTAATGTATCTGTCTATCCTGACACCAAATCCACATCATAGAATAAGGTAATGTTAATCGTCCAGCTTTGCTCCTCTTTTTCAAAGTTGTCTTAGCTATTTTATGTTTTTGTATTTCCATTTAAGTTTTAGGATCAGCTTGTCACTTTAAAAATGTTTGCTGGGGGTTTGATTGATATTGCATTGAATCTATAGATCAATTTTGGGGAACTGACATCTTAACAATATTCTTTTGATCCATGATCATGGTATATCTCTCCCTTTATAGGTCTTTATTAATTTATCTCTGCAATATTTTGCAGTTTTCAGTATACAGTTCTTTCACATCTTTTGTCAGATTTATACCTAAGTATTTCATAGTTTTTGATGCTATTATAAATGGCATTTTAAATTTTAAATTTTTGATTTTTCATTGCTAGTATATACAAATAGTTGATTTGGTTATATTGATCTTATTTCCTGAAACCTTGCTGACGTATTAGATCTAGTTTGCCCCTAGTTTGGCTTATCAACTAGGTGAGAATTTGATAGGATTTTTTTTCAATTGATAACATGCTTGTGAATAAAGACAGCTTTCTTCCAAAGCATCATTTCAACATGAATGAGGAAGTAACTGCTTTCTGCAAGGCACTAATACTCTGACGACTGTTGAAGTATTTTTGTCTCAGTTTCTTTTTCTATAGGGACAACACACTCCTCCATCCCACCCAATCTCTTATTGTCCATAAACAGTGAGGGAAGCTCAGGGCATTGAGACCAACCCCCACAGACCCACATCTGGGCTAGACTGAGGGGTGGAACTGATTGTTCCCAATGGCTGCACCTTGCCTGGTGGTCAGCAGCCTCCTCATAGCATTTTGGCCCTGCTGAGCTCCAAGAAGCATCCTGGGATGGAGACAGTGTGTTCCTGGAGAGGCCCTACAGTTGCCTTATGACATATACTACACTCTCCCAACTCTCTTTGGATTTTAATGAGCAGAGAGTCAAGCAATTTGGCTTTAGAATAGAAGGGGTTCCAAGAGTGTCAACCACATTCCACCCCTTTAGTCCATCTGCTGTCTGGCTTCCATGTTCATCTCATGGGCTGATTTGAATTCTTAGGATAACTGATCTCTTGTATCAAAAGATATCTGGTCCCCAGCTGTCACAGTAGACATGGTGACTTCTGGGTTGATGTCGCCAGTAAATGTCATCCCACCACCCCTCTGCCCTCTCCCAGGCGTCCCATGTGTCCCTTCTCCAAGACCACCCCCCATCCCCACTTTTATCCTCCCATTCCTAGATTTGTCTTCAGGCCTTTGGGTCCTCCGGTCACTGCAGGCTGTCCTTCGTGTGCGGCTTTAGGGAATAGGATCTGAATTATGATCCACAGTTGGAGGGTACTTCCCCTTAGTAAAAGGTGTGATTCTTTCCCTTAAAAAAACAGAGAGAAAAAAATGGACCTGGTGCCTTGGAAGGGAGTAAGCTTCCCTCCTTGGCGGAGCGCCCGTGGGGGGTGAGCGGGTACTGCTTGGCTGTGCTTCCTAGGGGTCCTACACTGGGTGAGAGGCCAAACTGGGTGACTGGCAGAGCTTTCCCAACAAAACAGCCTGGTTCTAAAGAGGAGATTCCTCTACTTTGTACCTGGTTTGACTCATCAGAGCCCCCACATTGGTTTGAAAGAGCTTTGAATACAAAATCCTAGCACCTGAAAGATCACCTAGCCACCCTGTGAGGGGTACTGAGGACCAGAAGAAGGAGGGAACTTGCCTGAAGTCACCCTGATGACCAGAACTCCAGCCCAGAGCCCCTGCCCACAGTCTGGTGTCCCTTCCATTGCTCTGATTCTTTCCTAGGAGTGGGACATGTGAGGATTCTAGCTTCCATCTCAGGAGCCATTTGGAAGATGGCATTTCATAAGAACCCCTTTGCTTTGTGTGTCCAACAGCATCTACCAGCCATTATGTTGCACATATTTATGTGTTTGTTCATTGTCTGCCTTTTAAACAAGACTTTGGTTTATTTATTGATATCTCCCCTTTACCTAGACTGTTCCTGGTGCTTGGAAGGTGGTGTTCACAAGTATCCGTCAAAAGAAGGCAGGCAGGAGCGAGGGCTCACAAGGCAAAAGAGCCCTTCAATGCCATCTGCTGGATCTCCATGCCTTCTGCCCTTCACTCCTCCCCAGTCCACTGCTCCTGGCCTGGCTCAGAGCCTCCACTCTCACTTGACACCAAGACAGCCTCCTGGTCTCTATCTGGCCCCATCCCATGCCCTTACCCTCCAATGCCACAGAACACGTCCTTAAAACACAAGAGTTACTTCCCGTTAAACCTTTCTGAGTGTCTGCAAGAAAATGTTTGCAAAACACATCTCTTATAAAGGATAGATGCCTTGAATATATAACAAACTCTCAAAACTTAATAGAAGAGAACAAGCAACCATTTTTTTTAATGTGCAGAAGAAGAGACACAGAGGAAGTACATGAAAAGATGCCCCACATTTTGTCGTTGGAGAAATGCAAATCCAAACCACAAGGAAATACACTTATTAGGATGGCTAAAGTTGGAAGGAAAAAAAACTAATAGCACCAATGCTGACAAAGATGTGAAGCAATTAGACCCCAAATACATTGCCGGTGGGACTATAACCTCGTACAGCCATTTCAGAAAATAATTTGGCACTTTCTTGTAAAGCTAAACACACACATACCAAGCGACCTAGAAATTCTACTCTAGATATTTGCCAAAGAAAAACAAAAGCATATGTCTACACAAAGACCAGCGTGTGACTGCTTATAGCCAATTTATTCAGAATTGCCCAGGCTGGAAACAACCCAAATGTCCTTTTCCTTGGAGGTGGATAAACCATGGTACATTCATTCAACAGAAGACATGTCAGCACTAGAAAGGAGCAAATTGCTGATACAAGCAGCAACCTGGATGAATCTCAAGAACACCATGCAAAATGAAACGCACATAATTCTACATACGGCATGATTCCATTTATATGACATTCTGGAAGAGGCAACACTATAGGGGTGCTGATCACATCAGTAGTTGCCAGGGGCAGGGGGAGGGGGTGGAGACTGACTACAAATGGCACAAGGAAACTTTTGGAGGTGACGCTAGTATTCTACACCTTGCGGACCCTGCACTTTTCCATCCACAGCCACACTGGATCATGGCCACCACCCTGAAGCCCAAGGCAGGGATTAACAATAACACGTCAACAAGGAGGAATTGTGAGGCTCCAATGAGAACGCTTTCATCCCTCCAGACTCCAACTGTTCTTATTAATTCTTCACTCCTGCTTTTTAAAACTTTATTTTGATTTTTAAAAAACTTCTAGGGTTGAATGATTGCTTGTTTTGGTTTCAATCTGTCTTGTTTAATATTTAAAGCAATTAAAACTATGAATACTGCATAGGTTTGGGGAGGGTATAGCTCAGTGGTAGGGTGCATGCTTAGCACGCACAAGGTCCTGGGTTCAATGTCCAGTATCTCCATTAAAAAAAAAATTTAAAGACAAAAAGCAGGGAATCAAATGGGAGTTCAGTCCCTAAATATGGAGACCTCTAGGTTCTTCTCCTACCCTTACAGCTCCAGCAGTCAGGCTTATAACCCCCAGAAGAGCATTCTCCACAACAAGGCCAAGAGAAAAATATCTAACATCACTGACATCAAACTCCCCCAGGGAAAACACCCAGCTTGGTCATCCTATGCTGAAGCCCGTGATCAGTAAGTGTCCCAGGGCCTTTAGTGGGATTTTCAGTTGGACATGAATACGTAGTCAAAGATCACTAGATATTTGAGAAAAATTGCTAATTTGGAAGATTGAGGCCAAAACAAACACATACACACACAAAGGAAATCTTGGGGGGGAAAGGACAATGTCAGGCAAGCTTGTCTAATAATATCTTCAAAAGATGAGGAAGCACTGTATCCATGAAATAGGAGCACGTTGTTACTAAAAGGAACATTCAGAAAACAAAAAATAAGTCTTAGAAAATAAAATATGAGCCCAGAAATGAATAACTCAGTGAATGAGAGAACATTCCTCATCACCTAAAAACGATCAGCAGCTCAGCAGTACCGAGGGCAGAACCAAGCACAGAGTAGGTCTCTCAAATGAATCAATCAATGAAAGAGTGTATAAGGAAATCCTTCCCAACTTCTGACCCACCTTCTGTGCCTTGCGGCACAGTCCTCCTGACCCAAGGGCCCAGTTGAATCAGGGCTTCATGAACAAGGAACCTCAGCCCCAGGGAGAATCATGCACCAGCCTGACCAACAGACAACCACAGGCACCTGTGGTTGACTTCCATTCAGTATCATTCATAAGCCTTAATTATATATGTCCATGTCTCTGCAGGGTATAAATTATTCCCCCTTTACAGATGGGAAACCTGAGGTCTGCAAGACAAAGGGTGACTCTTGGCTGGAGGTGGGTCTACAAGGAGAACCTATAATTTGTGCAGTCTGTCTTGTCCTTTTTTATTTGCTTTTTTTCCTGATTATAAAAATAATACATTTATTTTGAAAAATTCAAACATTTAAGAAATAAAACCAGATAAATGCAAAAGACCTTGGTAACCCCCCAGGTGTAACCATGGTCAACAGTGTGCAGCCTAGTCTTCCATAGTGTGTTGTCCATGCATATGGCTATGTATTTTTAAATGTATTGTTATTCTCCTATTTTTAATATTAATATGTATTTATTCTTTCAGGCAACATTTATAATAAATGTATCAGATTCCCCCACCAGCCCCCTTATAATTTGATAAAAATGGCACTAAATGTATATACTGATGAGGAAGATCACTGAGTCTTTCCATCCATGAACATGGTATTCTCTCCAGTTATTCGGGCCTTCTTTAACACCTTTTAGTAAAGGTTTATATTTTTCTTCATTTATGCCTTAAATACACGTTATTAAGTTTATCCCAATGTATTTTATTGTTTGTGTGGCTAAGAATGGAATCCTTTTCTTTTTCTCAATTAAGTTTTCTATTTGTTGTGGCTGCAGTGTCAGAGGAAACTTTTTTTTTAATGCACTTCACTGTACTCACTTCCTTAGCTTTACAGTTTTAAAATGAAACTTCTTGGATTTCTTTAGGTAAACACACATATCGTTATAAATTGTGATGATTTTGCTCTTTCTTAGCAACATTTTAATTTCTTGTCTTATTGCATTTGCTAGCTGAATAATGCCCGTGATATAGGCATACCTGTTTTGTTCTTGACTTCATGAAAAACCTTTAGTATTTCACTGTCACATTTTGTTTTGGGCCTTCTCTTTCAAAGCTCCCACCCTCCCTCAGGATTCAAATGCCCTCCTCTTTCTCCCCTGTTCCTATCAAATCTCCATCTTAGTAGAGGTTTTTCCTTGAGTCTTTGAATCTCCATCTTAGTAGAGGCTTTTCCTTGAGTCTTTGACAACAAAGTGTGATTTAAGCCAATATATTTTCTTTCCTGGATGATGTGCATTTTAAGCCTTCTGGAAAGAACTTATCCCTTATATTAATGAGACAGAATTCTGCCAAGGCATAGCAGCTGCTAAAGGGTCAGGGAGCCAGCGTGTACAACATACCTACAAAACACCATCCACAGGAAAGAGCACATTTACATGCATAATCTCCTTTAGTCCTCAAAGCAGACTCTACAAGGTGGTTACTTTGTTTACTCTCACTTTTCAGGAGAAAATCTGTCTCCAAGCAACCTGCCCCAGGTCACACAGCTAAGTAGGAGACACAGAATTCTAAGCCAGGTCACAAGAGAAATCCTGTAACTCTCACAAGCCTGAGTGTTGGATGTTTTAACAGCGGTGAAAGGGGCAGTTTGGAGCCAAGGGGGAGTAAGATGTTCAGGGGGAGGAAGTTGAAGGTCCAATGTGGGTGGGGCATCCTTCCCTTCCCTAGAGCCCTTCGCTGAGCAAACAGTATATAGGATTGGGCTTTGCTGACAGGGTGGCTGGGGAGGGGTGGCCCCACAGGAATCAGAGCATGGCACTCTTCCCAGCAACCTTCCAAATCCTTGCATGGGCATTGGTGTGGGGAAAGGGCCCTGCTCTAGGAGGGGAAGTTCTAGGGGATTCTAGTTCCAGCTCTACCACTACCAGCTGTGTGACCTGCGGCAAGCTGCTCCTCTCTCTGGTCCTGGTTGAACACTAGTCAAGAAGGCTAACCACCTAGGGCTCAAAAGGCAAAGAACATGCTTTTGCACACTAAAAGTGGTCCATATGGTTTTCAATCAAACAAGGCAGATGAATTCATGCATTTACCTCTGTTCCCTCTATTCCTTCCTATAATTCAGTAAACGCACTATAAAGGAATTCTTTTAAATAGACACACAAGAAAAGGAGGGGAAATATCAAAGGACAAGGGTGTTAACATATTTAGGGGAAACGCAAAGTGCAAGGAGCCGTCAGCAGAGCTGAGAGAGTCAAAGAGCAAGCTGCCTGCAGTAGGGGAGCCAATGAGAAGCTTGCCAGCTCCTGCCACAAGCCCCAGGGAGGCCCGGGAATTGGAGTAGAGATACCAGTATCTCAAAAAGCAGGCACAAGACTGATGACTGAAAACAAGGGGAAACTTAGACAATCCCCACCACACACTCTTCACCCACCCAGCAGGAGACTAGTATTCAGAGAGGCTGGGGGTGGGGAGGCCAGCTCAGTGGAAGGTGGGCAGACAGGCACCATAGTGAGAATAGAGGGAGGAGGTGGAAGTCCCTATACTGATGGAGACTCCCAACCTCCTTCCCCTAAACACCAGCAACCCCACTCACCACCATCCCCTACCCCCCAGGATGCAGGATCCTTTTCTACAGAAGTTGAATGGTCCCAGAGAAAATACCTAGAAACATTGACATTGAGGGTCTCCCAACAGAATCCCCATCCCCTCACTCCCAGTAAGACAGGACAGAAGGGGGCAGGGCACAGCCACTCAAGGAATGACAGCAATTAACACCAAAATGGTGGAAGAGTCAACTCCCAGTTGGCCTTGAGGATTAAGATAGCAGGAGGTTTGACTTCTAATAGACCTTGAGCTTCATTATATGCTCATTGTAACATATTAGCATGGTGAATAACATGCCTGCAGGTGCCATGACAGTCCCAAGGCTAGCCACTAAAGGTCAGAGTGGGTGGTGGCCCAATTCCTGGGAATCCCAGCCCCTTCCCCCAGGGTAGTTGGAAGGGTCCCACCTGCAGGGGGGTGAAGCTACTGAGCCCATAAAAACTGGCAACACCACGCCTAGCAGCCCTTTTTCACTCCCTCCTCTTCGGAGATGGCCCCGCACTCTGTCTATGGAGTGTGTACCTACTTTTACTTTAACCCGAGCACCCAACCCCCACACCTCATGGCTTTTCTCTTGCCTTTTGAAACAGCCTACACCCTATGCAGTATGTATCTCTCTAAATAAATCTGCCTGTACTCAACTGTGGCTCACACTTGAATTCTTTCCTGCACGAAGCCAAGGACCCACACTTGGTGGGGCACATCCCAGGGACTCAAGACCTGGGACGTGGCCCCCCACAAGCCCCACATCCATTTTTCCTTCATCACCAGTGAAGGCCTACCCAGACTCACAGCATTTTTTAGTGATTTCCTCTCAAATATGAACAAGGGAAAGAAGAAAAGGAACAGGGAAGAAGTGGAGGTAATGCAGGGAGCGGAAGGAAACTGAAGGAAGACTGTCACTGTCATCCCTAGATGAATGAACACACTGCACACATGGCACGGAACTGGAGGCTAGTTAAGGGGGGGAAATGCACTCCACAACACACAAGAACTCTCAGAAACTAAAAAAGATGAAAGCCAAATTTTCAGAAGACAATAGCAGGGTTCGAATAAAAGGACAAGGAAGATTTACCAGAAAGTAGGATAGAAAAGGCAGAAATAGGAAAGAAGGGGAAAAAAGAGAAAACCAGAGCATCAAACCAGAATGTCTACCAACGAAAGAGAGGAGCGAAAACAGACAGGAGGAAGCCACCAAGCACAAGGACACAAAAAATGTTCCCAGAATAGAAGGTCCTGAGTCTCCAGAAGGAAGGAATCCATTAAGTACCCAAAACAGTGGGCGAAAGCAGACTCACAGTAACACCCATCGTCACGAAATTTCAGAACACAAGGGACACAGAGAAGATTCTACCAGCTTCCAGAAAGGAAGGTGCAGTTTATATACAAAGGAAGGAAACTAAGATAGCATCAGAATTCTCAAACAACCATGCTTGAGGCTTGAAGGCAATGCAGCAAAGCCTTCAAAATTCCCAGGAAAAATTATTTCCAACTAAAATTTTATTTCCAACCAGACTACTGATCAGCTGTGCAGGGAGAAAAAAGAATCTTTCTCAGGCTTGCTGTCTATCAAAAACGTTACTTCCCATGACCCTTTCTAAGGAATCCACAAAACAAAGGTGTTGCTCAAGAAAGAAGATACAGGACTACTTTGATAAACCATATTTAAAAGCTGGTTTTCCCTGAGAGATCTGGTCCTCAGAATCTGGTCTCCAGGCCCTCACCAGAATTTCCAATGACAGAATGACAGAATTTCCCATTCGATAGTGCATGCTTATTCACATTTAACATTCTGAAATTGAGAATATATGGCAACTGATGGCAACTTAGGTCAATAAAACATGGCACAGCTAATTTTTGCACGCTGTTTTAGCCATAGAATTTCATGTATTTTTTCTTCAGGCTTCACAGCAACCCTATGGGATGAGTTTTACCAACCCTGTTTTGAATGCCAAGAAACAGATCCCCTGTGATGAAGCCACACGAGGCAATCCTCGACTGTGTGGGTTGTGGGTAGAGGAGTTAGCATTGATTGAGTTCCTTTTCTCTTTACCATCAGCTTTAAACAAGAGTATCTCATTTGGGTCTCCACAGTCCTCTGCTCATTTGACAGTTAAGGGAAGTGAGGCTTAGAGAGGTTAAGTAACGTGCCCCACCTCACACAGCCAGTAAGCATCAGAGCCAGGATCTGAACTCTTCCTACGGACAGGTGTTTGGCTGGCACTAGGGGCAGCATCTGTGTTCCCGTGGGAACCAAGCACAAGATGGGGGATCCCCCAGCCCAGCCCTGAGTGAGCCCCTCTGTGCCCTCGTCCCTCTGCTGGAGCTCCAGCGACACTCACTGCATAAGCCTGTCCCGGGCAGGGTCCGAGGGGTGGCGCTTGGATCCGCCCATGAACAGGGACCGGTACCGCTGCCGATGGTCCTTTGTCTCTAACAGCCTGGTGTTGAGGTAGCGACCCACACCTATGGGGTTCTGCACCAGAAGAGGAGACAGGACATTAGCAAACCAGATGCCTGGCTTGGAGACTTGATCTCAGCCACCTCGCCTCCTCACAGGCTCCTCCCTGCTCTATCTGTTAAAGGTTGAATTATTTTCCCCAAAGAGATACATGGAAGTCCTAACCCCCAGTACCTCAGAGAATGGACTTGTTTGGAAATAGCTGCAGATGTAATCAGTTAAGATGAGGTCATAGTGGAGTAGGGTGGGCCCTTAATCCAATGTAACCAGTGTAATGAGTGACAGCTCTAGAAAATCAATACACCAGCCCACCCAGAAACCCGGGTGGTGCATATGAGAGGCACCAACGGAGGGGCCCAGAGAGGAGATGTAGCCTGCCCAGGGTGACCAGTGAAGACAGGAGAGTGACAGGATGCAGGAACCGGCCATCTGCACAGGATCTGTCCCAAGAGTAGACTGGGAGACGTTAGAAATCAGGCACTAGTCCAATGTGAAGCCAGACTTGCCACCAACAAGGGAAAGGCCTGTCTCGCCAGGGAGCAAGCTCCTGGCCAGGGTGTGCAGACAGAGGGACACTCCTGCCCTGGAAAAGGGCGAACTCAGCCTCTGGACCGGACCTCACATCGGCCCTCCCACTTTGGAGTGGCTAGCCCTGTGGTAGCAACATGGTCATTTGGCTCTTGTCTAAACATCTTATTTGGGGTCCCCAAGCGAAGATCCTCTCCCCTGCAGCAGGTACAGGCTGGAGGCAAGAAAAGGGAAGGTACGGGAGACTTGAGCAACTGGACCTCATAAGAACCGAGTAGGGCAGGTGGGGTGTGGGCACACTGGGGCCAAGTCATTGCTCGGGAAGCGAGGAAGTGGGATGGAATGGAAAGAGCTCGGGGTCTGGGGGGGATAGGGCAGGGGGAGCTTCGTGGGAAGGCAGTTAGGTTATAAGCAAGATGTTCCTAGGGAAATCAGGAGAAATACGCAGCTTAAAACTACACAGCTGTTCAAAACCAGGCAAAACAAACCTGTGTTACTGGAAGTCAGGACAGGGAGAGAGGTTGGGGGTGGCCCGGGGGTGCCAGAAATGTGCTCTTCAGTGCTCTGGGGGTGGTTCCACTGTGGGCCCATTTTGTGATAATTCATGAAGCTGTTCACTTAGAACTCACAAACATTTCTGTGTGGTTATTAGACCGCAATAAAAGATGTGCTTACAAACTGAAGGGTAGGAATAAGAAACAGGATGAGGCTGATGCCCTGTGCCATTTGGTGAATGAAGAAGGCAGACACAGGAACCCAAGAACTTGGTGTCTTACAAGAACACCAACAAACTGAAGATTGCATTACACACTCAGGATGGATGGCTGCCTCTGGGGAGTGGGGAAGAGGGAAAGAGACAGAGGAGTCCTTGCTCAACCAGGGATGAGGAATGGGCCAACTCTCCCCGCTGCCCCTGAGGCCCCAAGACAAACACAAAGAGAATGGAGGGAGCACTTCCCTAGGAAAATCAGAGCGTGGAAGGGCTCTGGGGTGATGTCCCTTTAGCACAGTGATTTTCAAAGTGTGGTCCCTGGAACAGCAGTATCCACATCACCTGGGAACTCGTTACAAATGCAAATTCCAGGCCTCACTCCAGGCATACTGAATCAGAAGCTCTGGCGTGGGGCCCAGCCACCTGTGTTCTAACAAGCCCTCCAGATGATGCTCATGCCTGCTCAAGTTTGAAAACCACTGCCTTAGAGAAACGAGACAGCGGGAGTGGGTGTTAGTCCCCAGCAGAGAAAGGAGGTGGGATCCGACTCCCTGAGAGCATCAGTTCCCAGGGAGAAGGAGGCCTGGGAGCTGCCTGCAGAGGCAAGAGACAACTTCCTGCTCATTACCATGTATGCCCCACCCAGACCCACTCACCCAGCTTCCCAAAATCATCTGATAGTCCTTTATGCCTATCCGCTTGGAGGACAGCAGGAATGGTGGCTGCTTGATGTGTCTGCATTCCTTCTCTGGAGGAAGCCACATACCTGGACCAGACGTGGCCTAGGGGTAAGGAACGAAGGCTGAAAGCTGGAGAGGTCTTGATGGTCAGTCTGGGGCCAGGGCAGGTGAGGGCTCCAGGCAGCTGACCTCACCCACCTGGCAGCCCTGGGTCTTGAGCCAAGGACTGGGGAAGGTACCCAGCCACCTCCCAACTCACCAGGAGCCCATCCTCCGGGGATGAAGGGGCCCTGAAGTGCCCTCAGGACCCATGCCACCCACTCTGTCCCCCACCCATCAGCCTGACACCTCTTTCCAGGTTTCCGAGGGCCCTCCCAGTGTGTCAGGGTCCAGAGAAATGCTCCAGACCCCAGCCTGAGGAGCAGAAGACGCACAGGCTGAGGAGCTAGAAGAGCTGGGTTCCAGTCTTGCCTCCTTCTCCCCCTTGCTGGGAAGCCTGGGCAAATCCCTCCCTATCTCTGGGCCTCAGTTTCCTTTTGTGAAATGCAAATGATGATCCCTTCCTCAGTGGCCCAGAGCAGGCATTCAGGAAACGTTGGTACCCTTTTTCATTCTTCTGGACCCAACCCCTTCCCAAGCCCTTAGCAGCTCCCCACTCCCCTTCCCGAGGAGATGGGGCAGACCCTGCTTGAAGGGCCGACTAAAAGCCCAGGGCCTACTCAGACCACTGGCTGCCGAGCCCCCAGAGAGGAGCCCACCAGTCCCATGGACAGAGCAGGTGTGTGTCCCTCTGTCCGGGCAGACGCCTTATCCACACTCCGCCCTGCGGCAGTCTTCCCCTCGGCCTCTCTGCGGGGGAGGGGGCGGGGGGCAGAGACTAGTGGCGGCTGGACTCTCCCCTGGTGCCAGGCTCCATGCCACAGGCTCTAGGACTCAACCTCACTGAATTCTCACAGACACCAGGTTTCGCTCCTGGGACAAGCGTGTGAACTGAGATTCAGAGAGTAAGAGAGACTGACCCAGTGTGACCAGTAAGTGCAAGACCAGAACTGGGAAGCAGGTAGGTCTGACACCCAAGGCGGAGATTTCCCCTGAAATAGCCACCCCCCAACCCTGCCCCTGCAGGAGAGCCCTCTTCCAAGAGAATAAGGAAGGCAGGCCATGGCTGGGGGCCACTAACTAGCTTTCGGGGACACTGGCTAAGGGTGGCCCAGTAAATTCTTTCTGTAGGGGTTTCTGGGTTGCGGGGAAGTTTTGAAAAAACTCCACGTTTCTTATTGTGACGTGAGTTCAGTTCTTCCACGAAGCTCTTGAAATTCATCAGTTCCCTGGGCTTTATTTTCTGAGAAACAGAGGAAAAAAAGGTATCTGTTATGCCAGGAAAAGCAAGAGCCGAGTTT